CACAAAAACATTATACCCTGATTTCCCATTTTCAATGGGTTCAGGGTATAAAAAATGGGCATTCACTGCCAATGATGAAGATGACGACGAAAGTAATGATGATGATGATGATGGCGAGGACGAGAATGTCGACGTGAATGAGTTTGATGCGAGCAACTGTAAATGTTGAATGCGATGCGATGCCATGCGATGCGTTTGAGTTTGAGTTTGCGTCTGCCATGCAGCTGGGCGTGAAAATGCAATTTACTGGCTACGACTGACGGCTCAGGATCAGCCCAGGAATCGGATAGATAAAGGGTAGGGGGTAAGGGGGTGAGCGCTGACGGGTGCTGATAGGGCCGACTGTAGCTTGTTGAAGGGCCAAGCACTGGCCAAACAAAAACCTAGCCACAACAATTGTAATTAAAAGCTGCGCTAACCAAAATGATAAATATCTTGGCAAAAAACCGAAGCACTTCCCAACAAGTTCAACAAAAACCAAGTTAGAGTGCTGAAGATAGCTGTGCATGACTGTATAATACTCGCCCAGGGTTTAGAAATATATATAGGTTTTTTTATTTATTTATTTTTTGTATGCCTTGTTGACTTCACTGAAAATGGGAAATCAAGTTAAATTGATTTCATTTTATTTGTTCTTTGACAAATATTTAGTATAATTTATATTTTTTGAGTAAATATCTATAATTTATTAAAAATAGAAAATCAAGTCAATTTTTTTGTGTGATAAAAATTTATTATAATATTTTTTTTTTTTTTTTGTTATTGCAAATACCTATAATTCATTGAAATTTAAATTTATTTATTTTTTATTTATTATTTTAAATTGTTTATGATTTACAATTTTGAAGTAAATATTTATAACTTTTTAAAAATAGAAAATCAATTTTATTTGACTTTTGAGTGACAAAAATTTAGTAAATTTTGTTTTAAGTATTTATAAATGGGTTGAAAGTTAACAAAAAAAAAATTGAATTAATTTGAATTAAGTTGAACTGACTTTTTTTCTATGGCAATAATAATTTTTATTTTTCTGTGCATTTTTATAAGCCATTGAAATTTGGAAATCAAGTTAAATTTATTTATTTTTTCTGTGATTGAAACTTATAATTATATATATATTAAGTGTAAATATTTATAATATAAATTCCCTAGGTAGGACCTAGTTCGTCACGCTTTACCAGTGTCCATGCCAACGTATTTTCATAAGATTTTATTTGAAGAGTCTTCAAATAATCATATATGCATATGCCAAATTGCAAATCCCTATATACCGTCTTCTCTCTTCCTGAACGAGAATTAAAACATAAACAAAAACTTGTACTTTTACTTTTCTTTTTTTTTTTTCTTTTTGTTTTTGTTATTTGACTGTTGTTGTTTTTGTGCTCTTTGTCTGGCCGTCGCACTGTTTGTTACTTTTCACACAATTCCCCTTCATGGATTGCCCGCCGCCGCCGTTATACAGAAAATGGCCGGCCTGGGAGCTGCCATAATACAATTTATACGACAACACTTTAGTGCAAAGTTTATGCGCAGTGTTTACAACGTGCCATAAAAGCCGGACAATGCATGAAACGGTCTGAGAGAGAAACAGAGAGAGACAGAGAGAGAGAGAGAGAGAGGCCGCTGGATTAGGGCTAGGGCAACGCTTGGCTATAATGTAAACCGTAAATGTACTCCTCATGCTGCGGGTGCGTAACAAGTGCAGCAGCTCATGGCCCGCATAAGCAGGATGATCTGCCGGTCGTCGTCGTAGTCGTAGTCGTAGTCGAAGTTCCCATTCCGGCGTCGAGTTCATTGGCTCGCCTCGGAGGAACACAAATTGTCGCCTGGCATTGGCAGCTAGTAAAAATTAAGTAATAAACTAACTTTAACACAGGTTGCTTTCCACTGCTGTTGCTCTTGTTATGTAACACACACACACACACACACACACACACACACAGAGACAGAGAAACAGTTGTGGCAACAACAAATATGTTTTTAGAGCCATAATCCAGACCGTGTTAATGCCCATACTACATACATACATTGTTGGGCAGTTTGTTAGCATTTAACTAAAGTGTTATTAGCGAGAGTAGAACCCCAAAATGCCCACAATTGCTAGGAGAACTGAATGCGGAATAGAGCTCCAAGAGGCCTCAAATGCAATCGTGTAGTAATTGTATTCACATAAAATATACATTAGGTTATTTGGGCTTGGAATATCATTGTAGAGTTTGGATGAAATTAAGATTTAAGAGTCAAATTGGACATACAATATTATTAATGATATTGCACTTCATTATGCGAATATTCTTTGGATAAGCTCAATGGAACTTATGTAGGTAGAATTCTATGCTTCCCTCTGCACAAAAGGTAG